AGGTACTTCTTCGGTTCCGAGATCAATCTGGTGTCGCCCTTGGATCTAGAGTGTATGGAGCTGCTGTTAGCCTTCGGCGCTCATCCGAACACGCGGGATCGCGCCGGGCTGACGCCCCTCATGAAGGCCGCCAGACTGCCGCAGGTAAGCAGAATCAACGAGATACAGACTTGCCCATCAACGAACAACACGAGGACCCTGTTTTCCTCACGAATTTAAGCCAGTTCAAAATCAATTAAAAATCATTTTAAAGAGAAAGGAAGAGTCTCTGTCCAAAAAGACGTTCTATTTTCTTTTTTCTCAAACCTTCAGAGGCGTTTTGAATTTCTTGTGTCTTTTCTAAAATTCACAACTATACTCGACACGCAGTACTTATAATTAAATTACGTTCGCGTTTCCGCAAAATCGCGGAAAAACTGATCGATCCTTGCGAATGTCGCAGGGAATATCCTCGGTGCTTCTGCTGTTGAGCTACGGCGCGGACGTGAACGCGACGGCGGACGCCAGGCACGATTACCGGACGGTGCTGCATTACGCGATCCTTGGCGGCGATCCGACGGTGATCAATCTGCTGCTGAAGCAAGGCGCCCGGCTGGACCTCGGGCCGGACTATCAGAAACCGACGGCCCTCGATCTGGCCATACTCAAGGGCGACCCGTCGATCGTCGAGATGCTGCTCGAAGCGGGTGAGTTAGCCGGTATCCCGGCCCGATAATCGCTGGCATACGGCCGAAATCGCGCGGCATTCGAAGGTCGAATACGCGCACGTCCAGTATTAAATCTATCCGTGTAGTGTGTCGTACGATCTCTTTTTTTCTCAAGAAGTCACAGCTCGCGATCATAGATAGACTCCGCCAAGAGCCGTTCTCGTTGATCAACAACGTCCTAATATCTCTTTCAGTCTTATAAATTTGACCCAGGATCGTACTCGAAATTATATCTGAAGCCTTGTGTCCACGATGCTAGAACTGTGTCCGAGTTTCGGTTTAAGCCAATGAAACTGCTACTTTTCTGTAAGAGCTGCAAGTTGATTGGCTTAAACCAAAACTCGGACGCAGTTCTAGCATCGTGGACACAAGGTTTTAAACAATATCTCAACGGCAATAATTGAATCAAATTATATCCGGATAATGATAAAAGATTGTATTTTTCGATCGCGGTTTCCCAGGCGCGGACGTGAACGCCACGTCGCCGATCATCGGGTCACCGCTGCACGTGGCGTGCGCGGATAACATCCCGAACCGGCTGGAGATCCTGTGCATGCTGCTGGAGCGCGGCGCCGATCCCAATCTGGTGATACGCAGCGACGACGGGCCGGCGTTGCGACCGGTGCTCGCCGAGTACGTCGCCTCGAACGAGAACCCGTCGGTGGAAATAGTGGCGTTGTTGCTCAAGTACGGTGCCCGGGTGGTGATCAAGACGCAGTTCCGCGACCCACACGGCATCCTCAACTCCTTGCAGAACACGGCCGACAAGCCGCGGCTGCTGCGGGCGCTGCTGGAGGCGGCGGAGAGCTTCGATCCCTGCATGATCCGACGGTCCAGCAGCCTGACGGACGCGCAGAAGGCCCTGGTGATGGAGGCGGCCAGGACCCCGCTGCCGTTGACCCATCAGGCGAGATTGATAGTCCGCAAACTCTGCGGCACCAGGCTACCGAAGATCGTCAGGAAGCTGCAGCTGCCGCAGTCGTTGCACCGTTATCTCCTCTACGACTACTACTAGTCGAGAGATTGTTGGAGATCGAGACGTTTGTCGGGAGGGATGACGTTTGTCGGAGCACTTTCTTGGATTTCCGGTAAATTATATATTCTACGCGTGGACTTGGTACTTACTCGCGACTGAAAGCCCTAAAATACGAAACTGCACCGAGTCCATGTTTTTCGAGTTAATTAATTTTAAACAAAGAAGTTATTGATCTGACAAAATTTATTAACATATTCTAGCTATCTACACATTATTAATACGAGAAAAAAAATCTCTTATACATATCACTTAGAAACACTGTGCAAAGACTGTTTCAAAATTTCAGTTTTAGTGCGGTAACCAGTACTTTTCTTTTTCAGAGCTTCAATCAAAATCGTAGACTTGAGATAAGAAAGGCGAGAATCATCTCATTATAAGCGACCTGTACCGGCATCGTCGAAGTCTGGTTTTTTTTTAAGATGCGGAAGATAAAGTATTTGCGCGCTGTGAGTCCCCGTCAATTCGATGAGTACAATAACGAGGCTGTCGAGGTGCCTTTTGTTTCTACGTTAGAATCCTTCTTTTACACAACGCGTGTAAAGTGATATAACGCTTAGACAGCACCACATTTATATTTTATCTATATACTGTTACGATTCTAGTCGCTAAATGTACGTTTTGTATGTATGTATTTTCTCTCTACTTTCGCATGTCGAGAAGATCGTTCGTGATAGAAGTGATATATAAGACGCGCTCTCGTTGCTCAAACGCGCGAATGTACTCCCGAGCGCTCTCGAATCGTCAATCTGGAAATATTGCGCACAGAATCAAGTACCTTGCAGAGTTATCGTGGCGAAGTTACGCGAAGTTTGTCGCCGGACAAACAGCCGGGGAGGATTATTCTTTCGATGGTCGCGAAGTGATCGACTTCTTTTGTACCTTTGTATATACGACGATATATACGCTCAATGTACAATAAAGAGAAATAAAGGAGAATCAAATTGGAACGCTGTCCACCTGTGCCTGATCAGGGGGCTCGGAGCTTTCACGTACATGCTTGGCCGCGCGCGATTACGACGCGCCGAATGTTGGTCGATGTTGGTGGGAGCAACAATGATCCATGCACCATCGCTATCCTCGAAATAGCAGCCTCAATACCGTGACTTACGTCAAACTTTTGGCAGACGCTTTGCGTGAGGAAATTCGAGGTTCCCCGCACACCTGTGCGAGCGCGAGCTTAATGAGCGCGAACGATTCGCGTAGGCAAGCGGAATCGACGTTTCTTCATCTTTTTATAATTGCTATAAGAAGCTATCGAGCTGCGCGATTAAATTAATTTGATAAAAAGTAGACGATAAAAACGCGGTTTAATAAATAAAGACGGAGGACCGAACAGAAACGTAAATCAAAAAAGAAATAGTTGGATACATAATGTATATCGTTTGCGAGTTGATCGCCTCGAAGAAGGTCAGGGCAATTTTTGTAACTGCCTGCTGTCCTTTATGTTTTTTTTTGTCTTGGCGATTCCTGAAAGATACAAACAACATTTCGTCTCGACTAACCCTTATAAAAATTTAATACTGTAAGTGATTTTTTGGCTAGTAATTAATCACTTAAAAGTACTATTAAAAGCACTGTTAATAGTGCTTTTAATAGTGCTTTTAAATGATTAATCACTAGCCAAAAAATCACGTACAGTATTAAATTTCTATAAGGGAATTCGCAATCGGTGTCGTTCGTGTAGGTTTTCTGTGATTAACAATTACTGTGATAAAGTTTAAGAGAGATCAATTTAACTGCGATAGCGTCATAATAAAAAATCTTAATAATTAAACAGCGCTCCGAAAGTGAAATTATATCACAAAGTACGTGCTATATGGAGACGCTTTGCGTCAACAGGCATAAGAAATGTTAATGAGTGCATCTCTTATTTAGCGCATTCGCGATAAATGGACGATCGTATATAGTTGCGCTTAAATATGTATCCTGTAACTCGAAAGCCGTAGGTGCGTTAACTGCGTGCGACGAAATGTGCCACCATCGGATCTTCGCGGGGAGCACGGAAATTCCATGGCGCCTCTCCAAGCTCCGTTCGAAATATCCACTGAAGAACGACTGTCCCCGCGATTTCTCGTTTTGCGAACGAGCGCCTATTCGCGACGCAGGATTTCAAGTTTAGGCGCAAAATAGAAGCGACAAAGGTCAAGATCCGCCGCGATCGTAACTGACTGATTCAGATTCGGGGAAATAAATGGACGAGATCTCGTCCAGACTAGAGAGGAAAGACACTCTGTCTGTCATTTATAGCAAATAAATTATAAATATTCATTGTAAATGCAAGTATACGAATTTATGTAATTACAAATAGAAATATTATATTATATTATATGTCTAAATTATAATTATTTATATATAAATTTTATATTACATGCTGTTTTTGAAGATGGTATTATGATTGGAAATATTTAAGTACTTTTTAGGAAACAAAACTGCAAAGTTTGATTACATCTAATAAAAAATACAGTTAAAATTTGATATGGAAACGTAAAATTTTGATAACGCTCATTATATGACATTTTTATTAGATTAGAGTTGTTTTCTAAATAATGAAAATTATATCGACACTTTATCCAAATGATTCTGGAGCGATTAGATTAAAGAAAAATATTTTTTAGACACTTTCTGCTAATTATACGCTTAATTGATTTTAATTAATTGTAATTATTGTATGGTTTTCCAAACTCTGAAAAGTTTTTTCCAAACATCTCCAAATAATTTCCAAACTATTGGATAAGATAATTTTCAATAATTTTTATTTTTTTTTTGCCAACTATACGTCGGTCAATATCACTTTCGCGAAAGTTGATCGTGGCGAAAATGTCAAATCAAGCCTTATCGACCGAGCTGTCGCATTGACGATGTGAGCATCATGGCGGCTAGAGTGTTGGGCTCGGTCCTGCGTAAAAACGCAGGATTTTTCGGCGCCGGCAGGCTGCTGGCGCCGAACAACGCGCCGGCGATCACCAACGTGTGAGTCAAATTAATTGCACTTAAACGTAGCTCGTAAATTATTCGCTTACACACGTTACGTAACGACATAACCTGCCTGTTTCGCCGTACGGCGTGACGGGCACGACTGACAACACCTGTGTTTTGCAGCCAGAATCGCAAGGGCCACCAATGGAACCCGGACAAGGAGTTCCTCGAGCAGTTGGAGAGGCCGGTGGCGTACGCCACGGAGAAGCTCGACTGGACCCCGCCGCATCACGAATCCGCCCTGGCGATGGGCCCCATGGCGGAGCAGACCATACAGAATATAAAGATTAACTTTGGACCGCAGCATCCGGCCGCCCACGGCGTGCTCCGGCTGATCCTGGAGCTGGACGGCGAGATCGTGCTCAGCGCCGATCCGCACATCGGCCTCCTGCACCGCGGCACGGAGAAACTGATCGAATACAAGACCTACATGCAGGCGCTGCCCTACTTCGATCGCTTGGACTACGTCTCCATGATGTGCAACGAACAATGCTTCTCCCTGGCGATCGAGAAACTGCTGAACATAGACGTGCCTCTGCGCGCGAAGTACATTCGAGGTAAAAATGATATATATATGCATTCTTTTCAATAACACGGAATATATTAGAATATAAGTAGCGTCTTTGGTAAACATTCATCAGCTTGTGATTCAACGTCCTCCAAGTCTGATAGAATTATTTTCTCACTTGCAGTTCTTTTCGGGGAGATTACGAGGATTCTGAACCATATTATGGGCATTGGAACGCACGCGTTGGACATTGGCGCTCTCACACCCTTCTTCTGGCTGTTTGAGGAGCGAGAGAAGCTGATGGAGTTCTACGAGCGCGTGAGCGGCGCCCGTATGCACGCAGCTTACATAAGGCCAGGTGGTGTGTCTTTGGACCTACCGTTGGGTTTGATGGACGACATATACGACTGGGCCTCCAAATACTCAGAACGATTGGACGAAGTGGAGGATCTGCTGACGGACAACAGAATCTGGCGGCAGCGCACGATCAATATCGGTTGCGTGTCCGCGGAGGACGCGCTGAATTGGGGCTTCAGTGGCGTGATGTTACGAGGCTCTGGAATAAAATGGGATTTGAGGAAAGTCGCGCCCTACGACGCTTACCACTTGGTGGATTTTGACGTTCCAGTCGGCACGAACGGCGATTGCTATGACAGGTAAAAGCATTTAAAAGAATTAAAGGTATTAGAACATAGGAAAATAATAGATTACTAAGAAATCAAAAGAAAAAAAATAATTAAATACCCGGTCGGACAATACAGCAAAGAATCTTTTAGTTTGAAAAGAAGTTTTACGTATCTTTTTAATTGCATTGTTTTCTATATTCGACTTGCATTAGCCTTTAAAAAGGAATTTCTTTCCTTAAATTATTCTTCGCTAAAAATAATATTTAATTGTTCTTATTGTTCTGCGACTAATCAGTAATAATACACGAAAGAGTCATCTAAATGAATGAAAAATGCCATAGCGCGATGTGTATAACTTTTAAATATTTATAACTTATTTGGCGCAATGCCTCTTGTTTTCAGATATCTAATCCGCGTCGAGGAGATGCGACAGTCGCTGCGTATCATCCACCAGTGCTTGAATCAGATGCCCGAAGGAGAAGTGCGATGCGACGACGCCAAGATTGTGCCGCCGCGGCGGGAGGAGATGAAGAGCAGCATGGAGGCGCTCATCCATCACTTCAAACTGTTCACCCAGGGTTTCCAAGTGCCACCGGGAGCGACGTACACCGCCATCGAGGCGCCGAAGGGCGAGTTCGGCGTTTACCTCGTTAGCGACGGCAGCAGCAAGCCGTATCGGTGCAAAATTAAAGCGCCGGGCTTTGCTCATCTGGCGGGCCTGCAGTACATGGGGCCCAAGCACTTCCTCGCCGATGTGGTCGCCATCATTGGTACGCTGGACGTCGTATTTGGCGAGATTGATAGATAATTTCCTAACGATCGATAATTTATATAGCGTAGAAATGAATTTAAAAAAATAAATGATATAAATATGTTTATGTATGTTACATACATAGAGATTCACGAAGCCGATTGCATGTTACGTGTGCACGTGACTACGCGATGAGCGTATAAATAAATGTTGTATATATCTCGGCGCAATAAATGGAAATGTGACGAATATAATTTCATGCCGAAGATGCACTCCCGAATGCCGAATATACGAAACTCTGTGCTGTTACATCTAAACCGTCCGCTACCTAAAGCCTGAAGATTGTGTGCGATTCGCGCGCGATAAGAACACACAAAACCGCATTTCTTTTATCCCGGGTTCTTTTAATTAAAAAAACGCTGTAACAACTTGCGGTGCGACGCTATGTCGCAGTACGCGATTCGCTCTCTGAGTCTCCGTGAGAGATGCGCAATTCTTCCGCACGCAAACCATAATGCAAAATGCAATTGACAAACGACGGGAGAGAATTACAAGACATCTTCGTTGCGCGTAAGAACGGAGACGCCGTTTCGCAAACCTCTTCTTTCAATAAAAAAAAAAAAAAAAGAAAAAGAAAACGAAACGGCATTAATTATCTCTGTGAGTATGGTTACATCTGGATACCATAACTATTACGGAGTCGATCGAAGCGTTATAAAGAAATAAATGGCTGACCTAAATTCCAAATTCCAAATCGCGCCAACTCCGAAACGAGAAACTAGAAAAGTGAGAGGAAACCTTTGGATTGTTATTTAAATAATTTTTACTCTTTCTGATGATGACATTTACATTTAAATAAAAGAAATAATTTAAAAGGTTATTTTTCAAAATATAATATATTTTCTTAAAAAATATGCATACTAATAAGTTTATAAGTCCGGAATGATTTAAAATTTAAATATTTTTTCACAAGTCTGTTTTTTATATGTCACCTATAGAAAGAGGATACATATTTCATAAACAAATCTTTTCGTGTTTATAGCCTGAAGATAAATACAATCTTGTTCTTGTGAAATAGCGTGCAGCAGTCGGATTAATTTACCTTGATAGATTCAACATCGACGGAATGTCACGTTTATTTTTGTCGTTTTCAAAACTAATCGCGAAGAATTTATTTTTTAACTCGTCTTTTAATTAACGTATAGGATTAGCGGGGCAAGAAACATCGTAGAATCATGTTGATTCACACTCGCGGATATGTTTTTCTTATGGAAGCAGGGAACCGGCAGCGCCCGCAAGACACCGGTCGACCTCCACCAAGCCGTTCCATTTCATTAATCCACCGCGCACGCTTACGCGCAAATAAACTTCCGTCGCCGAGGGAACCGAGAGGAAAGATCTGCCGTGCCACAACGCATACTAACACCTGGGATTTGCACTCCAGACGGCTACTTAAGAAATGAAAGCTATTTTGAAGTTTATCTAATTGTCCCGGGTAAAAAAATTTCTCATTTTCTCGGACATTTTTTAAGAATTGAGACTTATAAAAATTCTGAACAAATATATAAAATTTCTCAGATACCTTTAGAAATAAGGATTTTCAAAATATTTCAGTATCCATATATATGAAAATATCTGATAAGTTGCACAGATTTTCTCATATTTATTCAGATTTCACAAAGATGTGTTGGCAGAAAAAATCTGAAATATTTTATTATTATTTTGTCTGAGTTTCTGAAAAACGTTCCAATTCGTATAAAAAAATCTGAAAAATTCTGAGCATTCTGAGAAATTCTGATTAATAATATAAAAAATTCTAAGACATATTTCCACTAAGGGTTGAAACGATAAAAAAAGTATTTGCGAAAGTAATTTCTTTTCTTTTCTTTTTTTTCTGACGTCGTCGCACGATCTGACGACTCGTATACGTCGAGACGACGGAGACGGACACTCGCGTGATAGATGTCCACCGCAATCGGAGGAAATCGTAGTTCATCTAATTACCGTGTCCTCCTGTCAAGCACGACGAGAAGTCAAAGCGTCGGCTTTCTCTATTCCTTTCGCCGGTGAAAACCGAAGTTCGCGTTTACAGCGTTGTCAGCGAGACGATAGACGATACTGTGATTTTCGAACGGCTTCCGACGCCCGAGAGGCTCCCTTTTCCGAAAACACCGTGAGTTAGAGAATTTATGGAAAATAAAAAGACCGAGCCTCTCCCAAATACCTGATAGTGGAGTATATTGAAAATTGAGACAAGAAATAATTTTATGTGTTTGCGTTACGTTTTATTATGTTTTTGCTTTTTTTAGCTTCTCGATATATTCAGCGGCAATGAAATAAAGAATTATTTGAAGATAAGTTATTTTAAGATATTGAAATTTGATTACATTGAATATAATTTTAGAAATATTTTATTTGAAACAAAAAATAATTTCATGGTTTTTATTTGAATATCATATGAGATAGAGTCCGTTTCTTCTCAATTACGAAATCAAACAGTTTTTTATTTGAAAGGCAGATTTATTATCCTTAATTGATACGCAAATACGTTTTGCTAACATAAAATAGATAAGGTAGGAGGCCCAAATTTCGTCCTCTTCAATTTCTCGGTCCTGTCGCTAAAAGCGCTATCTAGGCCAGTCAAATTAGACATTCTGGTATGAAAGTGATGCGAACTTTTTTATTTCTTTTTAGCCATGTTGGGGGTGTTTAGAAAAGCTTATTTTTGAGTTGTCGTATCATGAGACCCAGAGCTTTTTGAGGGGGGGAGGGGGAACCAATTTTTGACGAATCAGAATGAGTCACCGCTCATTTTCTTCGTTTTTTCAAGCCCTACAACTTTCTCAGGAGCGAAAAAGTGCTATCTATTAATCGAAACGAGATAAATGCAAAAAACCGCGAATTTTATTTTTCGGGAAAACCAAAATTTTCGTTTTTTCGCAATAACTCGGCGAATGTTGATAAAGAATGAATGACTAACTCCTCATTTTGTAGCTGAGGGAGGTATTTCATACCAGAAGCCTTTTTTTGGTCTAATTTGACTGGCCTAATCGGCAATCGGCCGTATCAGCGGCATCGGGGCCATGGCGCCAGTATGTACGACGTATTACGTGTGTATATAATGGTATAGAGGAAGCCAAACAGAGCCGCTTGTGATTTGTGATCCAAGAAGCTTCCGTACTGATTTTTCGTTTTCTTGGTAACGTGAGTTCTTGCAGTGTCATTATTAATAGTCCTACACGCCTGATGTAAGCGTTGTTTTTATATTCTCTGCGTGTCATTGGCTGAAGTACATTGTCAATAGAAGGATATGTGAGTTGTGTGCCGTCAGGTTAAACTTTTTGAGAAGGTCGGAGCCGCGATGTTAATTTCAGGTTTTTTTCCTAATTTTGTACCCCTTCATGTTCCTAAATTCGTCCCCTGAACGAGTGAAATTCATTTGTGATACTTGCTTGGAAGGCTAAATGCTCATCTTAAGAAAAAATAAGGTTATTAAATTTTTTTTTAAGTAAATAATGTTTACTTTTGTAATGACTTTTAATAAATAATACGAATGAAGTTGAAAATGAAAAAAAAAGAATCGTAATTACCTACATCTTTTTCTTTGGAATTTAGTATGGGGACGAAATTAGGATCACTTTTTTTGGTTTTGCCGAAAGTACTTTTAAAATTAATTTTTTTGGGTACTAGCACTACTAACAACTGATTATACAGGTGATTTGGCTTGATTTCCAGGTAAAGAGATGACAACTCGAAGAAGGATGTCGGTGGTTGAGCCCGTGCAGAGCCCAAGAAAGTGTCGCCTGGTATACCAATAAGTGTCCCCATCAACGAGATATTCAACGAAGGTAATGTCAAATTTTTGAGCTCTTACATCATTTAATACGGTCGCCAGGTACGGAAAAAGTGATTAGGGGACGAAATTTGGGCTCCCCTACTTTATATCATTACAAGTATAAATAATAATAATCGGATGAAGCGGACAAGAAGAGACCTCGGTTTTATTTGCAAGAATTTATCATGGAGGCAATTAGAGGGCATGAGGCGTAATGATTAGGTACGATTAATGCCGAAAGAATATTTTTGATAATGAACTTTTATCTTATCAACAGTAGCGTTGTCGAAAATGACATGATACTTTATATGATACTGCATTATCACGCACTATTTATACTTATTGCGTATAATTAACTGAAAAAAGTTTGTTTTCGCATATTAATTTTTTTTCTCAATGAGCAAAATACTAATCGGTTTATACAGTTTCTTACGCATTCCGATCTTGTTTAAATGCCTATTTAATAGCATCTTTTTGTGAGATTAAACGTCGTATCCACGATTATTAATGCGCAATATCGTATAAAGCACGATAATTATGAAATAACCTTAAACGTCTGGAGCATTTAACAATATTGTACGGCTGTCATCAACTTTGCTGATTGAACGAATAAATTTTACATTTAAACGTTTCTTCAAACAGCCTTTAATGAAGCCTCTCGCTACCGAGGTCTATTTTTGTAACTTTACCCATCATTGACTCGATATTTCTTATGCTAATTATACCTATATGTTTTGACACAGAATGTATATTGCGGATTTATTATCTGTGAAGTCCAAAAAGTATTATTCGAAGAAGAAGTTATTTGGTTTTTTTTTGTACGCTTTTCTCAAGTATCTAATTGACATCGGATACAGATCTGCCGCGACCTAGAATTCATTTTCATAAGTTTACGTGCGTTACCGAGAACATTGTTGCTCTTGCCGCGGCATTGCGCGCCCGACAGTTTTCTTGAGATCTTTCCTCTCTTTATACCCACACGCATCACTTTCCAGAGTATTGCTCTGAGAACTAGGTCCATCGAGATGCATTTTATTGCGCTTGTTGCAAAAGCATCCGTTAATTATCGAACATGCTTATTTCACTCAACGCGTTCATTTTAAACGTCTCTTTTTATCACTTTCAATACTTCGAACGAAATGACAGAAATTAATATTATTTATTTATCTGATCTCGCAATAATAAAAATCAGATTTATGAGAAATGACGTGCAAACAAAGCGCACACGTTTGAATAGAAAATAAGAACAATAAAAAGAACACCAAATATGATTTAAAAAAAATTTAATAGATAAAAAATTACGTCGATCAATTTACTTATTTACTTATTCCGGCTATGATTTTTTTAAACATCGGGTAACTTGCAAAGTTTGCAAATTCAATATCCCGCGGCTATCTCTTCGCCTTCGTAACATTCATT